CCCCCCGGGCCCTTTCTCTTGCCGACCCGAAACCGGGATCTAATGGCCCTGGGGAGGGGCAACTTTGGTAGATGGGGGAATGGGGTCCAGGACCAGAGCCTCCCTTGGCTTAAAGTTCAGCCTTAGATTGGGAGGAATGGGATATAGAGCCGGTTCAGAGCAGAGCTCAGTTAGGAAACTGCTCGGATTATGCCAGTATACCCTCTGGACCCTCCCAGGATTCAGGACTAGTTTGACCCTCTCTGTGACTTGTGGGCCATCCTGCTGGGAAGATGCACTGAAGAGACGCTTCCACCTCTGCTTTGGGCCTGGGGGTGACTGGCTTTCCAAAGCTAGGAGAGTTGTTAGAAACGATTAGTGAAGCCCAGTTAACAGACAGGGAACCGGGCCTCCGACTACATGACAGTGCCCCAATTCACATATCACCTAGTGGTTGAGCTGGAACCAAGAGCTAGGTCTTCTCAGTGCTGCCCCAAGTAATAGCCATGGTTCTCAGGGGGACAGTGGGTGGGGACTTTAAAGGTGGTGGGAGGGCCTCCCTGGCCTGGGCTTTCTGCAAGGGAGAGGAAGAGAAGCAGAGGGAGAGAGAAGGTGATATGGATGGAAGAGAGGGAGGGAGCTGGCCTGGCACAACCTGGGCTCTCCCTGCAGCCAGGGTGCCCTAGATCTGGCCAGCCAAAGAGAAGGGACCATGGAGGTGACCACTGTGGTGGGTGGAGAGATAAGAAGACAGCCTGGGGTCCTGTAGTGGGAGTCCTTAGAAGGGTCCCACTTTGGCCCCTGTGAGTATCCACTGTGGGGTGGGGGCTGATGACCGTTTGGGAAGCCAGCCCCGGCCCTTCCCCCAGCACTGTATACAGCTGCCCCTCCCCACTGTTTATTTATTGCACAAATCTAAGTTATTCTCCCCAGCCAGAGCCCTAGCTCCCGCTCCCTGGGAAAAGTGGCCCTGAGCTGGACTTTATATTTTATATCTGCAAATAAATCACATTTTATCTTATATTTAGGGAAAGCCAGATGGCAACAAAAAAAATTTTTTTTTTAAATTGCCAGGCCCCCCAAACTTATTTATTTTCTGACTTACAGTGAGCGAGTTATCCGCCTTCTGTATTTTGTAGACTTCTGAATAAAGTCAAGTTCTCTTTTTCCACAGAGCAGTATATGTCCTGAGCTATGTTTTGGGGGAGGGTGGGGAGTTCTGAATGAGGGGCCCAAGATGGGGTCCTGTTTCCGATGGGTGGGTGGGCTAGCCCCCGTCACTAGCTCTTACACATGGGCAGGCTCCAGGTGGGGTGGGGTGGAGGCGGGGACAGGGAAGGCTGGTGGCCAAACTTTGGTCCTTCCCTCTGGTCACCAAGAGCAAGGAGCCTTCCTGGGGATGGCAAAGCTGTGAGGTGTGACATTTTGGGTTAAATTCCCCAGGCATCCGTTCAGCAAACAAACAGTCTCACCCAGAGAGGAAAAATCCCGGGTTCTGAAGGAATCTTTCCAGCACTGAGGTTTGATTTTCTACAGCCACGTAGGAAATATTTTCCCCATGTTCCAGAAGGCACAGGTAGGCAGCAGAGCAGTGGCTTCCTCAGGCCCAGCCTGCAGTCCTAAAATGTAACCCTGCATCTCATTGTCTCATCGTAGGCTCCAACTCACTAACTCCAACCTTATCTCCTGCCCTTTCTGGGACACCCTGAGGAGTGGGGTGTACTGTGGTCTGTAGGTCAGGGAAATCAGGGTTTGAATCCAGGTGTGTCCTTTCCTAGCAGTGGGACCTTTGGTACTTAGTTTCTTGTAGCTGTGAGGTGTGACATTTTGGGTTAAATTCCCCAGGCATCCGTTCAGCAAACAAACAGTCTCACCCAGAGAGGAAAAATCCCGGGTTCTGAAGGAATCTTTCCAGCACTGAGGTTTGATTTTCTACAGCCACGTAGGAAATATTTTCCCCATGTTCCAGAAGGCACAGGGAGGCAGCAGAGCAGTGGCTTCCTCAGGCCCAGCCTGCAGTCCTAAAATGTAACCCTGCATCTCATTGTCTCATCGTAGGCCCCAACTCACTAACTCCAACCTTATCTCCTGCCCTTTCTGGGACACCCTGAGGAGTGGGGTGTACTGTGGTCTGTAGGTCAGGGAAATCAGGGTTTGAATCCAGGTTTGTCCTTTCCTAGCAGTGGGACCTTTGGTACTTAGTTTCTTGTAGCCTCAGTTTACCCATCTGTAGGATGAAGGTGCTAAAAGGGCATAGGTGTGAAAAGCACTGGGGGCCTGAGGGCACAGCAACACCCTACTGCGGTTGAGGACGTGGGGGCTGGGGGGAGGACCCATTAGTGGAGAGTACAGGGTTTGAGTCTGAGAAAGAGCTAAGCAGCATGGGTTGGCTGTGTCCACAGGGCTCTCTTCCCCGACTCAGGGTGGGGCTTGGCACTTTCCCTGCCAGGCCCACGTCCTGAAATGCTGAGCTCAGGCCTGCGGAAAGGGCAGCAGGAAGCTGGCGGGGGCCAAGGCGGGCTATTTACCTCCAGGTTACAGGCTGGCTGGGAATTTCCCCCACCCACGCTGCATTCCTGAGCACTCCTGTCAGCAGCAGGCTGGGCCCTGAGAAGGCATTCTGGGTGGGGTGGGGGGTGGAGGGAATGTGTCCCACCAAGGCCAGGTATTGCAGCCCCTGCCTCAGGCCTCCTGGTCCCCTGGGGTCCCAGGAAGGAGGATGGGCTTGGGGAGGCAGACCTCAGGCAGGAGATGCCTGCCAGAGTGGGCCTGCCGTGTGCGGGCTTGTCTCCACCCACCAGGAGACAAGCAGGGAAAGAGGCATCGGACCCTGTGCACCAGCCGTCATGGGGACCAGACGGTGGACCCCTTGTGACCAGCTGGCTGGAGGAGGGCAGACAACTTGTCCAGTGGGGGTCTGGACTCTGATATTAGTTTCTGATAATGTGACACCCCCCATTACCTACACATTACACACAGGAAGGGGGAGGTTTTCCTGAGACCCCGGCCCACAACCACTCCACCCACCCCCAAACACGAACACAGCGGGCAGGGAGGAGGAAGGAAAAAACCTCACCCACAGACAGAAGAGAGTTCGATACCATCTATATTATCTCATATATATATTTCTTCCTCACTTTATTTGCTCACTTCTGTCACGCATTTAAAATGTCACAGAGACCAAAATAGAGCGGCTTTCTGGTGGAACTCATGGCAGTCATACAACGAGATACAAAACTAGGGGACTCTGTCTTCTCATACATCATACAATTAATTTTTCAAGTATTTTTTATGTACAAAGAGCTATTCTATTTGGAAAAAAATTTAAAAAAACAGAAGACAAGGTAGGTTATGCATCCTAGGAAGAGGGAAAGGAGCAGAGGGCACAGTTCCCATCCCTGTGTCCCCAGGGACCGCCAGCTCCCTGCCACTGAGCTCCCCATGCCCCCACCCACCCCCACACTGTGCTAGCAGGCAAGTGCCTGGGCTGGCAGACCCAGGGGGCAGGAGTCAGCGACACACTTTGGCCTGGAAGGAGAGCGGGAAACCAGTCAGAGAAGCAAGTGCAGGGAGTGAACCAGCACTGCTCCTCCAACGGCACGCCCCTGCCAGCCACTTTCCTGGGCGGCCAGGACCAGCTGGGCAGGCCCACCTGGACAGGGGTCGGAGAACTGGCCTCCAGTACCCCACATGCGGGCCTGTGTGTCCCCGAGGGGCTGGCTTGGCCAAGAGGGAAGGAAGGAGGCCAGGAAGACTGCTGGGATGGAACCATACCACCCTGACCTGCTCATGGATCCCAGGTAGGGAGCCTGTCCATTCTAGGAGTAACCAAGAGATTCCAGGTGATTGCCACAGGCAGGGCCCTTCTCCCTTATCCTACCCATTTCTCCAGGCTTTTGCAGCCCAAACCCAAGTACTATCTGGGTTTCAGATGCCAGGGCACTTGGCCTGTAATGAACAGGCATTGCATCATGAGGTTCTTCCTAAGGCAGTGGCCGGTATAAGCCCGGCCTGCCTGGGGGCTCCTGCCCTGGGAGGCTCCAGGTATATGGGTGTGGTGGGGGGTGAAGGGAGGGGACTGGTGGTCCTGGCCACTTCTGAGGCCTGTCCAAGGGCATTTGGCCCAGCACTGTAGGATCCTCTGAGTGCCAGCAGCTTAAGAGCCCCCAGGGAGTCTGGAACAGACTGGGGGCTAGGAAGGGGAGCTTTCATATGTGACTAAGGCACAGAGATGGGCCGGGGGCCAGACAAGGCAGAATACCAGGCCCTACGTGGCTAGGGGCCCAGGAGAGGAGTCTGCAACCACTCCTCCCACCTCCCAGCTGTATGGCCATCCCTCCCATCCTCCCTACTGGACTGTCTTCCTCTGGAAGCTGGTCTGAAATGTGGAGACTCAGACCTTTCCTCTGAAATGGGAGAGAGAAGCTCCAGGAAGGGGCCAGGATCCAGCAGAGGTTCCTACTGCCCTGCCTGGGAAGGAGGGTTGAAAGGCCCCGAACCCTGGGGTAGCCGGGAAGCAAAGCCAAAGCTCTAACAAGAGGAAGGGCCAGATGAGGGCAGTGCAGGTTGTGGCTGCCCCTGCAGGCCAGGAGGAAGGGGCAGGAGTAGAGGCGCAACCATGGTGAGGACACCCAGAGGCCCAGAGACCCCTGCTTCAACAGAAGAAGGGCCCAGAGGCACCTGAGCAACATCCTGGGAGGGACCCATGGCTCTTGGTGTCTGGCTCCGATCCTTGCAGCATGCCAGGCAGGCCTGGGTCAGGAGGGGGGTCCACAGAGTGACCACATTCCCTCCTCCTGCCAGGGGTGAAGCAAATCTAGCATTGGACAAAGGCGGGCAGGGAAGGGGAGCACACGGGGGAGAGCCCAGAGCAGAGTATTGCACGGTGTGGGGTGGGCTGAGGCCTGCCAACCTCAGCAGGAGGGTCTCATGGGGGCGGGGGCTTAGAAGGCTGTAGCTGCTGGTCCACACACACGCATTTGGGCCTGGGTGCGGCTGGGCCCAGCATACCCTCACCACAGGGCAAGCAGCAGGGGCATGGGAGCTGCTCCCAGTGTCCTCTGCCCCTTGCCGGGGCAGTGCAGGGTTGGCCGCGCATAAATATTCCTGAAGGCTCGTGGGAGAGCCTGGGCTGTCCCCTGGGCAGACAGCTCTGGTATTTCCTCTGGAAGTGATATTGTGTTTCTGGTCCAATAAATAAAGGGCAACGCCAAAGCCATGCCAGCCACCTCCCAGCTGGCGGTGAGGCTGGAACTGGGCACAGCCTGCTCAGCCAAGCCACCAATCCCGCCACCAGCAGCCCACACTTAGAACTCATCATCAGAGCTGAGCAGGAGAGTCTTCTCATTGTCACGAGCTCCACTGAGGCTGTGGGAGCGGGAGAGGCCGTGGGCGCCACCGCGCCAGGTAGGCCCGGGTTCCAGGGTGGACTGCTGCGTGTACTGCTGGTAGGCAGGTGAGAAGTTGTGGATGGCATCCTGCACGATGTCATGTGGGTTCATGGTCTCCTTGAGGCTGCTGGAAATGCTCTTCATGGGGGCGCAGCGGCCTGCGGGGCAGGAGGCAGGGGCCAGGGTGAAGAGGCTGGGGCAGCAGGAGGGATGGTGGTTCAGCCCCTGCTCCTAAGCCTTGGACAGAACCCCCCACCCCAAGGCCGTGTCATTCAACCATCCCCTCCTGGGACAGAGAACAGGGTCTAGGACATGAGAAGGTGTAGGCAAAGAAGTGACTTGGTGGGAGTGGAGAGCAGCCAGGGAGCCCTGCAAGGGGCTTGTGGTCCACAGGCAGAGGTGAGCAACCCTGGGAGCCAGATCAGCGGTGAGAAGGTCCTGGGGTGAGATTGGCAAGCTGCAGGCAATGAGCCCAGAATGTCCCAGAGAGGCTACACCAGGCCCAGCATTGGCTGAAGTCCAGGCATGTTGAGGAAGGAGTCTGGGAACCAGGCCCAAAGCACAGGTGCCAGGCCCCTGTCCCCCTCTACCACCATGGGGGTGCACCGCTCTACTCTGGGGAGTGAACCAGCCACCCACAGCAGAGCAGACACAAGGCTCCCCCTTCTGAGAGGGTGAGAGCACCCTGGCCTGATGGGCTTCCTCTTAATTCCCTCTAAGGAGCATCCCCACGGGCTCAGAGGGGAGTAATGGGCTAGCCAAGAAGCCAAGATAAAGGGATGAGC